CAGAAAAAGGATGCACAACACAGGGTAAGTAGGGGAAAAAATGAAGGTAAAAAGATTGGTTTAACAGGGAGAGAGGGAAAGAAAAAGTCTCTGCATATTTACAAACAAGTAAGATGAACAGATGAAACTATGGTACAAAAGGACAAGTTTATGCACAACAGTTCTGTGGACTCTTAATGCATGAGTAATTTTATTTAACTTGAGATGTCTGTGTCTGAAGTTGTCACCATAGATTCCCTCTACTGCCAATGGAGAGAAATAGGTGCTTTTAAAACATGATTCAGCTGACCTGTTTTAGCCATCTACTTCAGGATTAGATGAATCACACTCTAAAAGTGCCTATTTCTCTCCATTGATTATGAAAAGAGTCCAGGATGACAACGTCAGATGTAGATATCTCAGTTATAGATTTTTATATTTGGTCAGATGAAACCCACTATTAGAACCTATAGATTCTGACACATCTTCACTTTTTTCCATAATTTCTTATTGAAAAAACAACTAGCATGGAGAAATAGAGGAGATACACATACATTTGTATCAGGTGCAAATTACTGTAGAATGGCTAGAAAATTGACATTATGTGTGTCAAATGTTGACATTTTGATGAAAAAAAATCTACTCCCAGATATTTCAGCTGAGAAAGAAAATATTTCTATGCGGAAATACTGACATGTGGCCTCATGGGAGTGACAGGCTGGTGCTTCAGACTTCCAGCCTTCTCTACAGGGCAGAGTCTTTACCTGGACTATGTTTTCCAAGATTCAAATTCACCCTAGTTCCTTCTTGTGATCTGGTGGTGCCTCTTGGGCTCACCATGGTGATGACAAGTCACAAAAGAAGCACCTAGCCAGGCAGCCAGAACCAGTCAGAGGAGACTGGGAACATGAGATAGCCAAATTACACCTTCTGCAAGGTGTTAAAATGGCATACATTTAACAGAAGTATATGAAGTTTTGATGGAATGACAGCAAGCTAATGTTTTAAACAAACAAATGATATTTTCAAAAAAGAGAGGACAGTTTGGAATCAGTAACCCGACTTCTCAATGTTCAGACTGATTATGCAGTCTTGAAGGAAAGCTGAATTATGGTTGTACACTTATTCCTTATTTTGCTGTTGTATTTCAATACTCTTTGTAATCCCCTCACACTTTGATAGGCTTATGATCATATTTTGCATTCCTCCTTTCCCTTCCCTTCCCTTCCCTTTTTCTTTTTTTTTCTTTTTTCCTTTTCCTTTTTTTCTTTTCCTTTTCCTTTTCCTTTTCCTTTCTTTTTCTTTTCTTTTTCTTTTTCTTTTTCTTTTTTTTCTTTTTTCTTTTTCTTTTTTCTTTTTCTTTTTCTTTTTTCTTTTTCTTTTTTCTTTTTCTTTTTTTCTTCTTTTTCTTTTTCTTTTTTCTTTTTCTTTTTTCTTTTTCTTTTTTTCTTCTTTTTCTTTTTCTTTTTTTTTCCTTCCTTTTTCTTTTTCTTCTTTTTATTTTGCTTCCTCTCAATCTTTATTTTTCTCTCTTTCCCTCTTGTTGAGGAACTGTGGATGGCATTGATAAACTTAATACTCATTTTACCAATATGTGGTGAGCAAATGATACTTCCCAGTATGGAGAAGAGCACAGGAAAACAAAAAAATTAGATCTGCTTTACAGATTATCAAACCAAACTTGGGTGCAAAGATATGCATAAGTTAAGTTCAGAAATATCTTTGAAGATAAAACTTATACATAACATTTCTAGAGAAAAGACCATGTTGAAATTACAGATCTGTTGAGTTGCGTTACTCATGTACATAAAATAGTAACCTTTGTGAATGGTCTAAACAAAGTTTGCTGTTCAAGAAGCCAGAGATTCTGACTTCTAATTCAAGCTGGAGAGAACTGAAAGGGAAGAAAACTAATTTCAGTGTTTCCTTGATGCAAAATTTCAGATTTATGAAGGAAAAGAGTGAAGGCTGAAGAGCCTCTGAGGTTTTGAATTTCCTCTAGACAGCTCTGCTGATGATGCATTATTTGTGAATAAAACTAAGGGAGAGAAGTAGGCTACTCTTATTTTCATTTGAAATTTAAACTCATCCATTTACAACAGTATATGATACAATGTAAGTAAAATAAGACTTTAATCATATATATATATATATTGCACAATCAAAAACTATGATGACATCGTCAAGAATTTTTTTAAAAATTATAACATTTTAAAATCTTTCACTTTTTAAGTATGCACAGTGCTTTGAATTTGATTATAATTTCACATATTATTTATTTTTACAGATGTCATGTGCCATTTTCCAAAATATTTATTCCCTCTTTCTAAATGTCCCTAAATTCCAAAGCTGTCATAGCTTTTCAGTTCAATGTCTTCCCCATAGGTGGTCCTTTAACCCAGCTATATTTTCACTCATGAGAGTGAAATCCTTTAGCAATACAGCATGAAATTCACTGTGCAGAGCAACAGTCTCATCTCAGAATTTTTAGTTGTGCTTAGGCACCGAGACTGTCCTGATCTCTGTTCTACCCATGAAGATCTCCATTTGATTTATTTTTACTCCTTTTCTGCACTTGTTTCCATTGCCTGACTCCTTACCTCTGAGGGTAATGGCTTTCTACCTACTTCCCAAATACCCATCCCAGATTCTTTTCCTAGCCTGTTCCTCTTCCCCTTCTTATGATGTATCTGCTCCTCGCTCTCTTTAATAAGATCTAATCTATTTAATTTGTTCCCAAGTCTTCCTTTTTTTTTCTTTTTTCACCATAATTTAATTTGCTGTAACCCAGCTAACAAACTTTTTGTAACTCTTAATATAATCTTCTTCATCTAGCCTTCTAATGCATCCTATAACAAAAAGGTCTTGGTGACCTCTTCCCTGGCTTCCAATTATTATATATATTTCTGTGGTCCTATATAATTATTAACCTATTAGGCAGAATTTTTAATTTCTCCTCCCAGTGCCAGTCTTTCTTTTGGTCTCACCACATTAGAGTATGGTGGCTCCCTTCTCCATGCCAGCAAGAAATCCTCAGTACAAAAAAGGAGAGCAAGGCTCCCTGCTCACTCTCCCCATACTACATCATAGTGGTGAGAAATAACTAATTCCCTGCAGGTTAGGGGCTGACTGACTGGGAAGCAGCTTTGCTGAAAAGGATCTAGGGAAAAGCAGACTAAACATGAGCCAGCAGGGTGCCCTGGTAGCCATGAGTCCGCTCTTGGAGGCTCTCAAGACCTGACCCAACAAAGTCCTGAGCAACCTGAATTCTGAATTCAGTGTGACCTTGTTCTGAGAAGGTTGGACTAGAGACCTCCTGAAGACCCTTTCAACATACATCATTCTGTAATTCTGTGAATCCTCTGTTGAAAATGATGTCCCTAAGTTCCTCAGTAGTCCAAGCTAGAATGGGTTTGGATTTATATCAATGTTATGCATCCTTTTATATTTTCAAGCCTTTGCTCTCAGGCGCAGAAGACATGGAACACTTCAAAGGAAAGACTGCCAGAATTTTTTCAATGTGTACAAAACAAGATTATCTCCCTGGACTCATTGTTGGATACTACTGAGTAGTTTTATCTGAAATATTTGAAAAGAGGAAAATGAAGTCTGAGGCAAAGTGAGTGTATAAAAAATGTCTGATTTTCAGACTCTTGCTGGTCAGCCACTGGTGCTACCAAAGCTGCTGTTAATCCATCATGACTACGGTGAAAGTTCAGCCCCACAGCATCAGCTAGACATCACATGTTGAAAACCAGGCGAGTTGCCAGACACTAGTTCATTTTTAGTGGGAACGCCACAGTTTGGCAAATCAAGCAGTAAACCAGAATATACTCTATTTTGTCATCTGTTCTTAATGGACTATGTTGTTTTTTTAAGTGGTTTTGTATGGAATTAATAATTCAATGTATTGCCCAGTTGTAAAAATTATGCCTGGTATTAAAAGTAATCTTATAATTGTATTTCTCCCCTCCCTCCATCCTCCCCCCCAAAAAAAGAAGTTTATCACTGACCCATTTTAAGGTTTTCCTCTGAGGTTCTGTTGATATTTTCAAATAAGCACCGCTTAGCTAAGAGATGAGTGGTGACATGTAACAAAGTTAGTAGAAAATTAAGACAATGCTACACCTATTCATAAAGACACCACCAACAAGAAAAAGGAAACTGTATTTTTTCATATTTTTTTAAAACAGAAAGTGGAAGATAGAGCAATGCTGATTAAGCTTGGAAGGCAGAGGTTTCTTAGAGAAAAATGCTTAATAAAAAAACCTGAGCTGTAGAACTTATTGAGTTGTAACATGATGGAAAATGGAATATCCAACTGAAAAAATGGAATATCTAACTGAAATAAAAGCTAAAATACAATAGCCTAAAGGCGTAGTTTCCTAAATGAACCCCACAAATATTGAAGAGAAAGGGAAAACGTAGGAAGATACTTGCCTGAGTGCATCTGAATGGTTATCAGACAGAGTGTTGATTAAACTTGTAAGTGATATCATAAATTATCTGTATATATGGAAGATCCTTTGGGAATCAAGAAACTATGTGCATTCTAAGCCTGACAGTTGATGTCGACATTTTCATTTCATATTTTCTGAAGAAGTCAAAGAAAAGGTAACCAGTTTGTAACGTGTCTGGAATGGGCAGAGTTACAGCAGAAGAACCCAGATAGATCTACAGATTAACATGCATGAAATTTTCAGGTCTGGAATAGGAAACAGACTTCATTATATTAGAAAGCGGCACATGAGAAACACTTACAGAGTCCTGAAAAGAGGAGTGAAAACTGGTAAAACTATCCTCAGAAAATCTGATGGATTTATGCTAACTTGAGGTTGCCACATTGATTCTGCCATAATATTTATTCAGCTTCAAAGCAGAAAGACTCCATCAGAAAAGTCTCTATGTATGATCCTTGTTGTTTCAGCCCATTTATGTGTGAGGTGCGTGATGTCTTCTTGTGGAATTTCTGTTTGAAATATAACTCAGCAGAGTTCTGCTTATCCACACCAATATCTTACACATTACTGACTCACCTCACTCCAGAATGAAGGTTTGTTTTCAGGGTAGTAGCTGCCATAGTCCTTCCTCACTGGGAATTTCCAGGTGGCCACTGACATTGATTAGGTCTTGTAGTTCAGGAGTATTGGGGCAGAGGTAAGCGATGGCATGCTTTGCCTCAAGTAGATACTCTTCATGTAACCATTCACACCACTGCATTTGCTAGCCAGACCACCATTTCCTGAGGCCTGGATAAAAATATTTCCTCCACCACAATGACCCTAGGGGAATAAAAAAAATAACAAAACAAAACTGAACTTTCCATACAGACCTTTTATTTTAAACAGCCAGTGTTGTATTTCTGCCAAACTTAGAAGGTGTTTTTGATTATGTAGCTTTCAACTACCATGGAATTAATATAGAAAAACTTGCGTTCTTCAGGGAGCTCTGTCATACATCTGCAAAATAAGGTTCTTTTTATGTACCTACACATTAACATTGACATCCACTCCCTCATTTAATTAACAACATTTGAATGTCATTTCTTTTCATGTAGTAATTGTATTTTTTATTCCTAAACTGATCTCTTATTTCAGATGGAGATACAATTGGAAAATGTCAAGATTTGTGCAGAAAAAAACAGTAACAATAAGAGTTTCCTTTTTTCCTTATCGTTTTTGAAATCTAAATCTGGACTTTTCTAGCAAGTTTTGAAAAAAAAAATCTGATGTGGGAAATGAACCTCCACAGTTTGGCTTGAGGGGAGAACTTTCTAAATTTTTTAATTTTTTTCTTTCAGTGAGTTCAAAGCTAACCTGCTGGGTCTGGGAACTTTCATGTCTTTAGGACCCTGGTAGCAACTATAAATAGTTGTGGCTGTTAATGCAGGCACGCACGCTGGAGAATCTACAGCATGTATTACATGTCTACCAAGGAGTTGAATTCCAAAGAAGAATTTAAAACTGCCTTAGTAATGCTTAACTTTAACAGCCAGATGAAAGATATATGGTGGAGGAATGCAATCCACTGTTCACTAGCTACTTAAATTTCTTTAATACAGCTGAAAAACTCATGAATAGTAAAGTGAGTCCTGGGTTATGTGTTCTGGTATATAAGGTATTCCTCTTGATTCTGGTAAATGATGTCCATGCAGTTATTAAAATACACGGACGTGGTTAAAGGAGAAAGTGTGGTTAGATCACAGGGGAATGGTCAACCTGTTGGAAGGGTACCCTTTGTTCATAACTTCATCTAAAGAACCATGAGACAATGTGTAAATAGTTGGGTTTGTTTTTTTTTTTTTGTTTAAATCAATTTAAATATGTGAAAGGCAATCCATCCATTTAGGAAACATATATGTGTGTACAGACAGAAAATATTGTGTGCTTTTTTTTTTTTTTACTTTACTGAAAAATTTCATCAAGTTAAATACTGTAACAGTTACAGCTGATAACTTTTCAGTAAGCCTAATCTTTATTAGTAATTTGTCTAGTGATTAATATATTAGTATAATTATCATACTAAGATAGCAAATGAACTTTGCAGCTGGAAGAAAAACAAAATTTTTAAGTATATCTGGGATAAGGTACCAAGACATATCTCAAAAAATCCCTTATAAAAATATATAATTTATTCTGATCACTTTTTTCTGTAATTAGTGAAATTATTTAATTAATAAGCTTATTTTTGTGTGAGTTTTCCTACGAGTGGAAATTTCTAAATGGCAATTATAACATAACCCTTTTGAAGAAATTTGGAAAAGCAGCAGGAAGAAAGACTTGCAGCAGATATTTTTAACTAGTTGCATGCATTTAAAAGAAGAAATATAAATTCTGAATGGCTGTACGAGCAACAGGAAAATGCAAGTTATGCTGGAGGTTTATTTCCAGCTCAAATCCTGGCATTTTTGCTAGTATATATTACCTTTCTCACCAATACCCAAATTCATTTGCCTTGAAAAGAAGACATTTTGGCTGTACCCTGAGGAAAAGCATTTTTTGATCAATTAGGTCAGAAGAAGCTTCTGTATTTTTGAAGGAAAAAAATAAGGGGGGGGGGGGGAAATGTGAAAGCATCTTACAGGTACTAGATTATCCCTTTAATGCCTCCATTAATATTAAACAAATCCTGCAAATACAGTGTCTCGGTTTTGGAAAATATATTAATTGGGTGTATGTCAGGAATAAAATCCAGGAACTCACTTTTAATATTTCTTAAATCAAAAGCTTCTTGTTCTTAACAGCTAACCCATTTAGATATTCCTTCCCTCTCCCCCTTCCAAAAGCCACCTCCTTCAACTGGCTGCTGCACTCCAGTGCTGCCTGTATAGGTTACCAGCAGTGAAATGTATCGCAGCCATCCACATCAGTGCTACTTCCACAAATGACTAAAAACTACACAATTTTTCTTAATGCTCAGAACCACGTTTACTACCAAACACTTCTGGAAACGGCAATTAAGTGCCGAGTTTTCTTTGGGGATCCAACCCAAAATATCATTCAAAAGCAAAAAAAGATTCTGAATGGGGTCTTTTTCTGATTTGATATAGTTTCATATAAATCACAAACGTCTAACTGAAAATAATGATATAAACTCAAGCAAAATCAGTTAATTTTATTACAGATTTTTATTACAGATAATTTATAACTCCTTTGGCTAGTAATACATATTTTGGACATTGCTAAGTGATAATATTCTATTTACTGGTAAAGGAGGAAGTACATAACTTGAGGAGACAAATCTCCTAATACCTTAAACCTGAAAATAAGTTTTCTTAAAAGTACTCCTATGAATAGACACACTTAAAATCAATGAAACTACTCATGTGCATAAATTTAAGCATATGCAAAAGTACTTCAAGACAGGAGATTTAGCTCTTAATTATTTTAGGTCACTGAAAGAAATGGAGGCCACAGTTTCTCCCAGAACAGGTGACAAATCTGCTTAAAAAGGTAATGTGGACGTGGCAGAAGGAAACCATGTATAAGCAGTCTCATCCAGGAATACATAAGCAGACTGATGCTGCTGTAGAGGATCTGGCTGGGGAATGACTGATCTAGGTTTTCATATTGCAAACTATTTAGAGGAGATATCCTATACAAATTTTAGGGACAGATCAGGGACTTAAGGTAACTGCTGGATGCATAATTCACTCCAAAAAATTTGTTAGACAAACCTCACATTCTTTTTCTATTTGTGAACTGCACAAGAACAGTTTATGACTTTCTTAGATTTATTATTCAGAATTATTCCCTGAATGAAGGTGTATCATTTATGAGCACTTCACTGCAAGTGCTTGATATTCAAAATTTGGCATTCAATATTGTTATGTTGGTTAGTCAGAGCAGAACATGTTGCATGTTGTGTTTCTCTAAGTAGGTCAGAGTCAGGTTTTCCATTGTAAATCATGATATTTCAGAATTCAAAACTCACTTTCTATTCCCATTTTTTCAGTAATCAGAAGACATCTCAAACATTCCAGTTAAAGGCACATTTGTTCAAAATTAAAATGTCATTATTTTCATAGAATTATTTTGTCCTATTATGTCTCTATTTATGTTCTATAATGTTTCTACTATGCAGCTATAACAAAAAGGTTTATCAAAATATATATCATCATTTAAAAAGAACCCCAACTAACGGGGATAATTTTGTCCAGCTGCATAATCCCCCAGCTGGCATATTGTGGAATGTCCCATGCCTTATTCATCAGTCCTAATATGTTAAGAATAAGATTTACGAAAAGTGACTCCACTAAAGACTTGGAGCTTTGGCTATCTAAAATCAGTCAGAGGAAAAGTTTAAGAATGAAGAGAATCATTTATGTCTTGAAAGTCTTTTACTTGTATGCTCATAAAAAAATGAGAGAGATTCTGATCTTGGTCCTGCTTCTGGAGAACTACTACCCTCATAATGGAGCAAAAGTTTTTATGGTTCCCTTGCTGCTGAAAATCCTATAATAAATAGAAGATTGTAAAAGCGTAATTTGAAAGAAAAGAAAAAAAAAAAAACATTTTGAAGAGTTCATAGCTCCTTTTTTTTTTTTTTTGTGGCGGGATAAAATAGATGAAGACTTGAAAGTGAAATATATAGAGAAACTACACTGCTCTTAACACAAGTAATATTTAGTAATTTCTTAGCCCTGGTTTGCAGTCAGTCATCCTAACCATCTGCTCAGAACTGAACTTTTTCTTCTTCTTCAGTGTAGTTGAACTATATCAACAGAAACAATTTCTTCAGGGAGAATAAATGTACCGCTACAAACAGTTTGATGAAAGACTGAATCTTTGTATTCCTGGAAAGTAAGTCTTCCTGTAACAAGCAGCTAATGTTTGAACACGTCAAAGCAAGCCTTTTAGTACAGGAGATAAGAGCACTTGAATGTTTCTTACAAAGTGGTAACTGGCCCAAAAGAAAATGTTGTGCACGGTAATTTATTCTAGGAGTTAACATTTTCCTCGGCCTTGAAAAGAACTTTACCATGACTCAGTACTCTTATTTGGAGGATTTGGGTCTGAAATCCAGACCAAATATACAAGCAAATATTTTATTCATACAGGCAATGTTATTGGCATAGACAGTGGTAAAATAATGGCCAGATCCATGTTAGGAATGGGTCATAAATGGATGTCAATCTGAGGTGGGGTGTTTATTCATGGTTTTAACTATGCTGTTAAATGCCACACTGCAGAAGCTTTAATGCTTATGCAACTATGTTAATCTAAAAGTACTGTTCTTGATAAAAATCCTTTTGCTTTTGGAATTGGTGAATAACATACCATCAGAAAGCCTTTATTGCTGGTATAAACTACAGCTGTGTTAGAGGGGATAGCTACAGTAACCTAGTGTCTCTATCTCAGCATGTGGCCTGTTCAAAGTCATTGTTTACGCAGACTTTCTACCATATGGAATTATCAACATTTTACTGCAAAAAGTTCTGCTTTGTACTTCCAGAGTGAGAATAGAGCAAGAGAGATTTTGTTTTCTCTTTTTTCCTTTGAGAAAGAAAAAAAAAAAAGAAAGAAAAAGAGAGAGAGAGAGGGAGAAAAACAGAAAAGAAAAAGAAAAAGAAAAAGAAAAAGGAGAAAGAAAAGGAAAAGAAAAAGAAAGAGGAAAAGAAAAAGAATAAAAATAAGCAAAAGAAAAGAAAAAAAAGGGAAAAGATAATAATTGATCTCTGCCCCTAGGAATCCTCTCCTGTTAGAAATATATGTCATTATAAATATCACCATGTATAAACATATACACTTATTAATGTAGTGTAAAATCTCATCTTTTGGGT